CACATAACACATTGAGAGCTGCAAGTGTGGCGCACTATGGCAAAAAGGTTGAGAACCACTGACCTAAGGCTAGAAAGGAGGTTCCTGTATGGATGCTGTCGGGTGTTTTCATACTCTTCTGGAGCCTTAAGCATAGGGACTTACCCATTCAAATCTGGTGGATGTGTCCCATCTTAGTTATTTGAGTTTGCAGAGGGTACGAGGTATTGATACTGTCAGTCCTCTGTACCTTGTCCTTGAGTGCTCGTTTCACTCGTAAAAAGCTAAATAAACCATCCTGTTTTCAGTTTTGGGCAAAAAACACCTGCTTACTACCTTAGGCAAAAAGTTACAGCCAGGGGTTTCTAAAAGAAAATGGGCTGAGTTTTAAACCTCTGAAAGTGGAAACATCTAGCAGAAATGTGGCCTGACAACACTAGCAATGAAGGGTGTCACTGAAGCAGCCTTTGGGTATCTAATTGTTGTTGTTCTACACACTTGCTCACACGCAACAGTATACATCAATGTGAGACATGGTCACCCTGTTGCAGGACACATGGGCACGAGGCTACATGAGGATCTCCCTATCTGAATTATAGTTAAGAAGTTTTAAAACTCTGGAAAGGGGCCAGGCTCAAAAGTGAGTCTGGTTTGAAAAACTGCATCAGGGAGGAAGGAGGAGGCATAAGCAAGCTGTAGCAGACCTTAGGCCAGATGTGCAGCCAGCCAGTCTTATACAAGGCGAGACAGCTGTCCTGAAAACTTGGTGATGGTCATGCCACCATGTGGGGGATGCACTGAGAAACAAGGCTGCAGGACTTCAGCACACTAAGAAGTGTAGAAAAGCCCAGAGCAAAGCATTTCATGGCTTCTGGAAAAGGGATTTAATATACAAAAAAAAGGAGAATGAGCTCTTTTGTATTTCCGTGTTCCAGGCATGGGTGTGATGTCACTGACAACCAATCAGGAAGCTCCAGCTGTGTCCAGAGTATTCATCAGCAATTGGTTAGATGCAGATGCTGAGAGGAACAGCATAATTTGGGGAGTATTCTCAGCTGGAAGAGCTTCTAAAATTCAGTATTCAGGATATCTGGACTTTGTCCTCACTGGCTCCTAGGCACTAAGGGACATGCCCTCTTGTTTCATTAATCTAGGAATGAGGCTGGGATCTGGTCAAGGAGCTGGTAATTACATAGTCGATCTAAAAGCAGCTGGTTTCAAAGAGCAGTTTGATCTTGCTGGAGGTGAGACATTTCAGTTCCCAAGCTGCTCTATACTGAAGGAAAGCAGAAGAGAATGAGACTTCTGAGAGCTGTCCTGCATTCCTGGAAACAAAAATGAGATTATGCCCCTGGCACTAGGGCATCTTCCTTACCGTTCAACCTCAAGCCCTGGGAGAAGAAACTCCAGCCATGCTTCGATCAGAGAAGAAAGCACTGATGAAGGGAGGTGCATCTGGGGAAAAGGCCTTCTGAACTCCTAGGGACTACATTTTACACACACACACACACACACACACACACACACACACACACACACACACACACACACACACACACACACACACACACTCTCTCTCTCTCGCTTGCTCTCTCTCTCTTTTAAGAGAAGGGGCAGAATACTGAAAGCAGAGGGTAGCAGAGTTTTCTCTTTAATAACCCACAGGATGCATAACCACATTTCTGTCCCCACAGTGATGGTAGAAACCTCTACAAAACACTGGAGCCAGCTGCCCAGTTATGCTCTTAACATATAATCAGCATATGCTTCTAGACGATGGACTTGGATCTGTAAGTTGCTGTACAGATCTCAACACATGCTGAAGTCACATAAAAGTGAAGTGTAAATGTTCAGGAAATAAAAAAAAAAAAACCTTCTACTAAAGTACACATACAACTGAACTTTGAGTGCTCAGAACTAACTTCATTTTCACCAGAATGAACCTTAGCTCTGGGGAATCCTGAGGCAAGCACAGCTTCCCCATTCTGGCACCCAGTGTTTTTCAGGTCTCTAAACTCCAGGTTTCAAGTGGAAACATGAGAATACAGTGGACAGCAGGGTGGCTCCCGGTCATAGAGTCCCTCCGTGGTCTTTGGCCTTGGGATCCTTGCATCTACCGTACAAAACGAGAACCGTTTCAACTGAAACTTGTATTACAAGCCCAGTATCCTTAGATTGCAGTGAAGCCTGGGTAATATCATCAGAAGGAGGATTTGTCTGTGCTGGTTATTAACAACTGAAAGGCAGGAGAGAGTGGAAAGCAGCTCCAACTGCAGTGTGCGCTCCCCATGGCCGCCATAAAACCATAGTGCGCTGGCCAGTTCATTCATGTAATGCTGCCCCTTGCTGATGAGAATCAGAACCATCTCACCACGTGTTATGGACCCTGTTCGGCTACCACATCACAAAGATACTTCTTTAGTTCAAGTGGCTGGGACCTGGGAACCATGAATTTCTGAGCAGCCAAGGATGCACCTAGCGACAGCCACAAAGCCCTCGGCAGTCTCAGCCATGCTGTAACAGAGAGGGTTACGCTCCAGTTTGTGTGAAGGAGAGCGTCCCTGCCGGGCATCATCAGTGGAACCAGTAGACATCTTTCCCCTGTGGGACTAGGACACGTCAGCTTGTCTAAACAAAGAGGAGCAGCTTCCCCAGGCCCCGCTCTGCCGTGCCCGTTTGATGTGGCATCCCAATTCCCTTCCCAGATTTTCTAATTCCTCTCTGCTTTGGGGACTGTTCTTCCCTCCCCCAAAAGGGTGTTTCCTTTTTGTCTGAGATGACACAACCCACGCCCCTTCATACTCCCATTATCACCAACGAAAGGCATTTCAAGGGCACAGCTCCCCATTCACCACCTGACTGGAAAACAATGCAGACTTTGATCTCTTGGGACAGCAGTCGCATGAATAAAATGGCTAAATACGCTGGTGCTCAGGTAACTGCACAAGTCTGGCCTCCTATCCTGTACTTAGCTTGCAGGCTGATCTCCTTAGAGCAAGCAGATCACCAGCAGGGGCGAATGGCTGGAGGAAGAGATGGAGGTCAAAAGAAATCCTCATGGACAGTATGCTGAGCGGCATGCTCTGTACATAGCCCATTCTGCCATCGCCGACAGGAGATTTGCAGACAGAGACTGCTGGGAGTGGAGCTGCTTAGCTATTCAACCCCCATCCAATGACAATCAGATAGTGGAAGTAGCATTTCTCAGAGGGCTTTTGACTAAGAAGGGGATTGGAGGGAAGAGAGAGAGACCCAAACATACAGTACATAAATATGTTAATGCTGCTACGGTAATTATTTCAGCACTCTGTATGGCTGCAGAAAGGATTCCAGTCACTCCCTGCAAGAGGGAAGTACATTTATCTTTCTTAATTAGTCTGCAATGGAGAACAGGCTAATAGGCTTAAAAATAAAATAAAATAAAATAATGTAAGCATGGCAAACTGTACACATCCACGTGCTTCACTGTGAAGTCAGATAAAACACTCTCCCCAACACCACTGCTGACCCTTGGGAATATACTCATGTAGGACATGACTTGAAATTTAATTTGTGATTTATATCTGTTTCCTTTAGTCCTCCCAACACAGATATGCATGCACAAGTGTGTGCATGTAAGTGTGTGCACACACATGCTACCAAGCGCTTCAGTTCTTTATCCCGGGGAGGTACTCCTTCTGCTCAGCATCAGTCAATGTTTAATAACTCTTCACTCTTCCAGATCAATGAAAAGCAGATGAATCTCCTCAAAGCATGAGAGGAATGAGATCAAACATACTGGATCAAGGAAAATTCAGTCCTTGCCACTTACTATTTTTTTATAAAGGCACCAATGTAGTAAGACAGCAGGAAGCTGCTGCCGTATCTACTTTCTGGTTTGGTTATTTTTACTTAGCTCATCTTGCTTTTGTTATACTTCTCTTTGTTCCTTCTCCGAGACAAAAACCCCCCACAACATCGCTGACACATTACCATGACACTGCACAGTTCCTCAGTGATAAGACAGAAGTGTACCATGGTACACTGATGCATTTCAGTCCTAGGGGTGTCTGTACACGTGCAGGGACATTGCTCTGACACAGTGTAATTACAGTGCATCAGAGCAGACTCGATTAATTGAGTCTGCTGGACTGTGCTAATTAGCATGCTCCAGCAGCCTCCGTGTCTCATGCATTCAGTGTCCCTGTGCTTCAAAATGGTGGCGGGGGTGCCATTTTGAAGCGCGGGACACTGCACACATTAGACACTGCACGCGCTTTAATTAGAGCATTTCAGTGGTCTGTATTGCAGGCCATAAGTGCTCAGCAATGCAAGCTAGCAGGAAATGAATACAGTGAACATTACACCCTTTTGGGAAGGAACTAGAATAGTGATTTCTTGTCCATATATATCTATATACGAGTGCCCCAGGGTCTACAAATGGTACTACAGGGTTGCCCTTGTTAATCAGGAAGATTCAGGGCTAATCACTTGTCCCAATGTTAACCATGGCCCAGCCAGCTGTACAAACTGTGACATACAATAACACAAGGGCTGTTTTTATACCAGGTTACACAACAAAGGGCACTTTTACACACATTCTGGGAGGCGCGGGGCGCTGCCTTAATTAGCAAATGCTTTTAATTAAAGTGCCCAAGCATCACATGTATCAGCTTCCCCTGTGCTGAAAAATGGCAGCAGGGTGCTTTGAACTAAAGCTCATTGAAAGAGCTTTAGTTTAAAACACCCTGCTGCCATTTTTTGGTGTGGGGATGTTAATACACATGACACCAGAGTCTGCTGAAGCACGTTTATAGGAGCCCAAAATTACGTCTGAGTCTGGAAACCTGACACAGATGCTGGAAACCACAGGACTTGAATGACTTCGGAGAACTTTTCCATCTTGAATTTCTATTATTCTATGATTGGATGTTGATAATCAGGATCACCCTGCAAATGTCAGTGAGAGACGACTGACTGAAGTCAGCACCATCATAAGCCATTTTCATAATGCCCTTTCCTGTGCCACCCATATTACTCACTGCATGCTGCTTCAGATTCATCGGACCCATCAGGGCACTCCTCTTCGCCATCACATTTCCACCTGTCCGGGATACAGTGGCCGTTGTTGCAGGTGAAGTCAGATTCAGCACAAGTTTTCTTTGCTGCAAGGAATATAAAAACAAGGGAGAACACAGATGAGCACCATGCGTGATTCACTGCACTGATCCCTGCTAAGGGAAGTGCCGTCATTATCATCCGCACCAGGAGAAGAATCGTTACATTTTTCAGATTCTAACACGGGTTTTGAAAGCCATAGATCAGCTGGTATCAAAAGAGGATGCTTTATATCTGCTCTCCCTAACATCTACCCCCTCAGTTGTACATGTCTTTGAAATGGACCCGGCTAGGTCTTCCTTCATGTTAACTAAAATGAGTAAAAAGTGGGTGACAGTTTGTCTACATCAGGACAACTACTTAGCTTTTTATTATCGTTGCTTGCTATGTATATGGAGCTGACAGCATGCTGGATGATTTACAGACAGGTGAGATGACAGGGTCCCTGCCCTGAAGTATATTATAGTCAAGTAATTATATCTTTATCTCTTTGACCTATTCATGGCACTTCTGGTGTATCAATCACTTTAGTATCTAATCACAAAACATGTCTTCAAATATCACAGAGCTTCAGGAGAAAGTAAACTGAAAATAAGCCCTAGCAGCTTTCTAAATCTAAGTGACAGAAGCAAGCTCTTCACCCTGCGAGTGAATCCAGGGACAGGTGGATGCAGGCAATTAATTCCCCGATCTGCAGAGCTGGCACAGCAAGAGAGCAGCCAGCAGTATCAGCCAGTGCTCTTCAAGCCTGACCTGAAGAAACCAGTTTCCCTAAAGAAACCAGTCCTCCCCCAGCCTTATCTGCAGAGCTCATACCGCACAAAGTACCCAGCAGTATCAATTCTTCAACCCTGACTTGAAGAAACCAGTCCTCTGGATAGACCCAGTTTCTATGACCCTTTCAATCCTTGAGACTGCCAAGCAAGGTTGCTGGTTTGTGTCATTTGTGGAGCTGACTTTTGCAACTTTTATACCGGGAAGTGGACTCAAAAAGCCAAACTCTGCCTATGCAAGTTCCCTAACAGCCACCCAGCAGTAACAACTTTCAGACTGGACAGCTTTACAATCAGTAAAACTCCATTACTAAATCAGTCCCCGATTTTTTTTTGGTAGTTAATTTTTATGGGAAAAGGAGAGGGAAGGAAAGGGAATCTGTTTCTTCCCAACAAGTTTACTCAAGCCCATCCTGCAGTAATGCAATCATTTATACTGAAGAGTAATGCACACACTAAAAAGAGTAATGCAAACACTTTCAGTGCCGGTGAAAGCAATACTGATTTGGTGAAACGCCCCTGGCAAACACTAACACTTTAAGTCGTGATTAATCAGGTAATCGCATTTTAAGCAGTAACTTGGCCACAAATTCAAGCAATTAATGGCGCAATAACTCAGGAAATAATCCTTAAAATTACTACACAAAATACATGCAATAACTTTGTGGGTGGTTCCCACTGAGCCTCAAATTGAACAGATGGCTCTTCTAGACCCCAGTTCACTTCCAGAGGCTGGGATGGCTGGTCAGCTCACTGATGCTCTCAGCCACGGGAGCGCCAGGCCCCTGACTTGCTACTTGCTGGTGCAGGTGGAGCCCCAGGCTCCTCCTGCACCACCAATCTGGTGGGATCTGGTCCCCGATCCCACAAATGCATCTCCTGCCATGCACATGTGGCATGGCAGGAGGTGCAATTGTTGAGATCGATCCTAACAAGCCTTTAACTGAATGTCTGCCAGGGGCCGAGGGCATCAAAGCCCAACATGCGGACAAGATCTGATGCTAACTTTGTTACAGAAGAGTTAACTGACAATATGAGAGGAAGCTATGAAGAAGGGAGGGACAGCTGTGCACGCAGAAAGCCGGGCACCCGGCTACAGGAGATTCTGGAGAAGTTTCAATGGATAAGACCCAATATTAATCTCCGATTCATAAAACATACTGCTTCTCTGAACAGACATCCAAGTGCATAGTCATTGCCAAGAAGGAAATGCTGCAGAGCACCATTTAGCATATGTGCCCTCTTTCTAGGCATACTTCCTATGAGGAATGGATATTCATTCCCCTTGTATAGTGGTGCCCATAGCGGTGGTAGAGGCAGTCAAGACATCTCGCTATGTACCCAGAGATATCAGTTCAAGCCTTATGCCAGGGGTGGCCAGTCTGCAGCATGTATGCACAAGTGGCACTGGCAGCCTCTGTGTGGCATGGGAGAGATGGGACAGGGAGCAGAAAGGAGACAAAAGGGAGTGGTGATACTCAGGAAAGGCACAGGTTTAATTTGTGACAACTTCCAAAAAGGATGGTGCCCACTGCCCTATGCCAAAGGCTACCTCCAGCTGACCCAGCTATCAATGGGAGCCTGGTCACTGAGGCAAAGGAGTAAAAGGCAGACTGAATGGATGATGGCCACATCAATCCTTGCATGTGGCTGGATACAAGACCTGGTCTGCCTTAACCCTGCTATCCCAAAAGGCTGCTGGGGGTGGGACAGACTTTTGTTACCATGAGCATCAGTCTAAGTCAGACAACATGTCCTTGTCTCTCAAAATCAAAGATGCTGGACACCACTATAGAAAGAAAATGTACAAATGAAGGTTAAAAAAACCCAACCAGACTAATGATTTTGAGATGCCTCAAGCCAGCCTGACATCCAATTCAGTCCCTCCAGTGTCTCAGGCTAGATAATCAAAACCTATCACACCCCAAATTCCTGGTAGCTTCTGAAATGGGAGGCCACTGCATTTGCCATGTATGGGATGGTTTAGAGAGGGATGATGCTGCCTTAAGCAGGGAGGTGGACTAAATACGCTCCCGAGGTCTCTTCCAGCCCAAATTTCTATGATCCTAGTCAGCTGCACTGGATATATTACACTTGAGATGACAAACCCACGGGCCAATGAGACCTACAAAGTTCTGCAGAGCATGGCCTTGGATCACTTGCAGGACAGCCGTTTCAGCTAACAGACTACTGATCCCAGCATCCCAATGGAAGACTTCTCAAATCAAGACAAAGCAGCATATGCTGGGGTCTGTCATCTCTGCAGGCTGCCTCTCCACATCAAAGATAGGGCAGCGTCTGTATAAAATTGCGTGTATGTGTGTGCGTAAATCTGGCTGGATGCCACAGTAGCAATGCACACAAGCACTCCAGCAAGGTCTGGAAATCTCTAGGTACAAACCATAGGACTTGCTTTCAGGGGAGGGTTGTGGACTCTGCAGAAGAAACCAGACTCCCACTTTCACTCAGGAAACAGATAGCAGAGTGCAGGTTCGCACGATGCCAGGTGCAGATGGTAGGGTTTGGGATTTCTTTGTTTTCTTTCGTCTTTATTTCTATATCAGCTCCCATCATGTTGCACTGTTCTGTTCTTAGTGAGAAAGCGCCAGCCCTTCTGTCCTCTTCTGGGGCAGCACAGACACCAACACGACTATTTCTCCACCTTGAATGAAACAGCCTGTCCCCCACTGAACTCGCATTCTGATGGCTGGTGTCTCTGGGACACAGGACTGAAAGCTTAAGGGTTCATCAACAAAGCTGAGCGATGAGATATGCAGTCCCTTCAACAACACAAACCTGCTCACAGCAGATGGTGCCACTGATTGCTTTGTTCCCTTGACACTGTTCTTCAGCAGTACAATTAATATATTGCCAGGATTCACAAAAGGGGGAAGAACTACATTATTGACAGTCACAGGGTGGCCTTTGGAAAGTGTTAATGTGCTCCTTGTGTGTAGTCTTCCTTTCTGCAAAATGAAGCTGCATGCAACAGCCCACGAGCAATGGAAGAACCAAAGAGAAAGCTGCCAGCTAGACCCACCCAGAGGTCTAATAGTCCAATGCCAGATAAATCAGCAGGATGAAAGCAATGCATTCTGTCCTTTGTTCGAATCCAAGCTGTCTAATCTTTCAACGGGACGCTGACATGATCTAAAAAAACCCCAATGATTACTTTATCTTATTTCTCCTGTGGTGGAACCTATGGTCCACAATCAGTTGAATCACTGTATTAATTAAAACAAAGTCACGTGATGCATACTGCAAACAACGGGGAGGACTGTTAAATCATCAAATTCACTTTTCATCCCTGATGTAAGACGGGCATTCACTTGCATCTGCAGTCAGATTCAGCTGCTGGCCCTCAAGCGTGAGATCTCTGGGATCACAACTCAGTCCAGGAATGTTTAATTAAAATCAAAACTGCTTTCACTACTTCTTTAAAAAAAAACAAAACAAACAGTCAGGTAACCATTTCTAGTCCTTTTGGATGTTACAAATCTTCTAGCCACACCACAGTACAAACATTTCATCGTGCCCTAGTACTGAAAATGGATGGTGTCACATACAAATCACGTTTCCTCTTGGAAAACGCTAAAGGATGTGGGCTCTTTTTATAGTTTTAGCAGCCCGGCCTCCTGAAATAACCAGGCAAAAGTAATTGTCCTCAAGAGACTACCGTAAAAGCACTTCTCCTTGCTGTAAGCAGAGTAAGGCAGGTCTGCATGCACGGCTCTTGAAGATGAACATAAATAAATAATAGTAACCGAAAAGCCAGGTCACCAGTCTACCCCAACACTGCGATGCCATTTTATAGCTGGAGGGAGGAGGCCGTTGAATCCTGCACTGGAACATATGCTCGCTACCCCAAACGGATACAGTGAATGACAGAGGAGAGACTGGAATTGTTTTGACTCTTGCTTGACTTGCCTTTAGCACCTGTTTTGTCTTCCCCTATGTCCACAGCTGGAGAGGCAGAAATGTCACAAACCTCAGCATAGAAAATAAAACTGGTAAAGCCGACAGAGACTGAGAACCCAAAGGGGATAATTAGCAGGTTGGGCACCTTTCCCATGTGAGGCTTGGTTTAAAAGTAGTTTGTGTTCTTCTTCTTCCTCATGGGAAGTCTGAGCAACAAACTCAGGAGCAGCGAACTGCAGCAGAAGAACACCAAGATCAAGGGAAGCATTATATTAAGTGTCCCAACATGGGGCTGCTCCTCGTGTTGCCAAAAAGTTTTTCCCTGCTGTAATTTAGATGCCCTAACTCAGGTTCTG